ATTGGACTTGGGTATATATGTGTATATAACTTTATTATGGTGTTAAAATTTTGTTTTAACCGTAGTCTATGACTATTTAGTTTGTTTGCATTTGCTTTCATCTAAACATCAAAAATTCCTTTTAAAAGAGAAATGAAACAAAATCAAGAGCTTTATGCTCTCAGCCTGAACGCATGGCTACAGAACGGACATTTATGCAAAGTTTACATGAGCTATGTTTCTTTAGGAATGCATGTCACCATGTAACGTGTAGTGATTGATGCATTTAGTTGTTGACATTATCAATATACAAAATTTAGTCAACATTGCCTTTTTAAATTAAAAACTTAGTAATTGTCCTCTTTGTAGGAGAGAGTTTGCCAGAATTTTTGAGAGAAAAAACAAAGTTAAAAATCATATATATAATGGATTCAGAATCATAACAACTCTGAAAATTCAGAACAGACAAATTAAACTATCATTCATGCGTGCATTAGCGGCTATTCTCTTATGCTTCAAAACCAACAGGATTTGGTTCATCATCTCTTGCTGCAACAGTGTTGCTGGCAGATGCAGCTGCTTCTTCACCTTCAATTATCACTTGTGTGAGAATGTAAACTGCACGCCTAATAACACAGAGAAAGACATTCTCGAAGGAGGCGTCTGCTTTTGGTAAATAGATGGAAGAATAGAGGGTGTCGGTTTAGGTGGATTGGACTCACAAACTTCTTTATTTATAGAGTTTGAATTATTATTCTGATTTAAAACGAATAAAGCTTGGATCGTAAATAAAAGGAGACAAAGAGCCGTGGAAGTGAGGTTTAATGAGAACAACAGATTAATTGAACATGTGAAATCAAAACGTTAAAATAGAGTAAGCAAAAGATGGAGATGAAGAGACATGGGAGGTAAAAGATGAAGGGGAATGTCTGGCTTTTCTCAAACAATGGATGACACACTGAAGTTCAATAGTCAATGACTCGACGGAAGAGTTCAATAACAGAAGAGACGCCTCATGACCTAAGCCTAAACGCAGAGTTTTATTATCTTTGGGCTAAGTGCTTTAGAATGAGTTTCTAAATATAAATTACAAACTCACACCAGCCCACACATAATTATACCAAATTAAAACACATTGATAACATGGTTGACCAGATGGAATAACACGGGGATCCTACAGGAGTCTTGAAACTCAACCATTATAATATAGCTCCCGCGCAAACGCGGTTTCAGAGATATAATTGATGTATTCTATAATTTTATTATATATTTTGATGTTTGACATATAATCTGGACCGATATAGCGTATGAAGTCTTTATATTAGTCAGTAAAATTTTCAAAAGTTCTATATATCCGCAAACATTATGCAGTCTTGTTAAATGTCAAAGGTTCTTCTCAATCTTCTCTAATTCTCATAAATTTGCTATTTTTTTATATTCTGAGAATCCCATAAAGGCGGCAAACAACCATAAACTGAGTACTTCTACCAAAGTAAAGAGAATAAAAAGTTGAGAGGCATGCAACGACTTTAGCAATCGAAGCAAAATCTGAAGTTATTTTCAAGAAGATGTGATAATATTTGACTGGAAAAAGAATTAATGAGAGAATCATAGATGAATGGTTTCTCCTTTTAGATATAGTATATATTAAGCATAATGCATGAGGTATTATGAACATGATTCATTATTACTTAACGAATGAATGAAACTATTATGCAATCTTGTTAAATGCCAATGTTCTTCTCTTTCTCATAAATTAGTCATTTTTATGTTTCGAGAATCTCAGAAACGGAGGCGGCGAGCAACCACAAACTGAACAGTTCGACCAATGTAGAAGGAATAAAAAGTTAACAGGCATGTAAAGGTTTTAGGCCTCAATTAGTATATCTGATAATAAAATAGTAGTAGTATACTATATAAGCAATATACTGCAGAAGCAATATACTGTAGAAGCTGTATGCTCTTAATAAACTTTTTTTAATAAAGTGATTGATTAAACAATAACAGTATATAATTTTATAATCATCATAAAATTTAGTATATAATATATTTATTTTAAATTAATATATATTAATAACATTTTTTAATAAAAATAAGGAATCTTATTCAATTACATAAATGGTTTTATATTTTAAATGTGAAATATTAATATTTATATATATATAATTTATTTTAAAAAATATAAATTTAGTTTTGCATATAAAAATAATTTTAATATTATTACAGAAAATAAATTAATTATATATAATTATTATATAAATTATTATTATTTGATTATTGGTAGAGCATTAAATGATTAATCTATTTATTTTTAAATAATATAAATATGTTTATATCTATAGTATATAATTATATTAAATTTAGGTTTGTTATTAAAAATAATTATTGATATGTGTAATTATATAAATTATATAATATATAAAATGTGAATTACTACTTTTAAATTAAAAATATTTAATTAATTTTTTTTGGAAAATAATTATGTAGAATTATTTTTAATTTTTATATTTCTAAGAACAAATGATCTTCCAAAAGCTCCCTATGAGACCATTGAGCAAATAGCATTTGGAGAACATTAGCATCTTGTAAATGATTTTCTAAATGTTTTTTTCATAAATGTTGATTGGATAATAAAAGTATAATTCTTATAATAATACTACCAATCAATCCCTCATCTAAAGCTGAAGATGAAGTAATTTCCAAGAAAATGTAATAAAAATCGACTGGAAGAAGAATCAATGAGAGAATCATATATGAAGGATTTTTCTGTCTAGATAGAGTATATATTAACCGGAATGCATGAGGTGTTATGAATGTGGTCTATTGTTAATCAACAGAATAAAAATAGGAGATGTAAAGGTAGAGTAAGAAAATTTGATTCATGAAAATAAAAACACTCACTCTATGAATATGAAAGTCTAGCGAATTAATGATTAATTAGTGATATCCAGGAAGTGAATACTTTATTTTATTTTTAAAATAACTTAGGTATTATAGTCTACTATTTCTAAAATATGTCAAGTATCCATAGTAGTCTGGTGGTAAAGACTTTGTTTGAAAATAAACAACCTCGGTTCAATTCTTGACCAATCCATTTTTTTTTCTTGGAATAGGTCCCACAAATATGCTGATGTGTTGCTTCAAAAATGAGTAAACTGCCCCATTATTATATAGATTTACCACAATGATTTGACCTTAATTATTTTACTTGTTAACCATAATAATTTCACATGTTTAAATGAAATTGTTTCATTAGTACAAGAATTTAAATCGATTAATAAAGTATCATTCTTTTTATATTACCAGTCAAACATGCATATTCAAGTATACGTTCAAATAGAGATCAAGTTTTTTTGGGTATAGGAATTTTTGGTTTTTAATTTTGTTTGGATATTATAAAATTTTGAACATGATTCGAGCCAGACTCTTCCAGATTTGGATAGGTTCGTAAAAACCTAAAAATATATAAATAGCTTATATATATATATATATATATATATATATATATATATGTGTGTGTGTGTTTAAAATGTTATTAAGTAATTTATAAAAAGGTAAAGACTAATCCTGTGCGGATCAATCTCTGATTACCTATTTATTTAGGTTTAAAGACATGTAGGGTTTAGACATGATACATTTTGTTGTAGGATTAAGAGATTTTTTTATTAGTATGATATTTTCTCAGGTTAAACATTTGCTATTTTTGACGCAATAAAGAATATGTTTGGTGACTTCATTTATATATATATATATTTGAGAAAGGGCATAATGACTTCATACATTGATATTTGTATATGTTACTATGACATATTATCATGTTAATATCCTGAAAACACATACTATAAATAGTACTATCAACTTATTTACTATGGTAAAAATTTTAAAATAAATTAACATCGATATGGCTTATAAATTATTTAACAGTATAACATTTAATTGAAGTATTAAATGGTTGATAGGTGAGAATTAGTATTTTACGTTATTTACCGGATCCTAACCCATAAAATACTTCTAAATAGGGGTGAGACGGATCCGGATATCCGGGAAATTTGAAGTATCCAGATCCGAATTCATTGGATCCCTGATTTTAGTATTCAGATTCGTGTCTTCCGGATATCCGGGTTCTGGATATTCGTCTAGATATTGTGATATCCGCGGGTATCCAGATTCGGATTCGGATCCGTAAAAATAATTAAAAAAATTAAAAAAAATCAATAATTCTAAAAGTAATACATAAACTAAATATTTAAGCATAATTTATGAAATATATATATGACATATAATATTATTAATATAAAAGTAAAATATTATTAAAATTATTTTATGTATAAATATTAATATACCAGATATAATTAGTAATAAATAAATAAAAAAATAATCTATTTTTAAAATACGGATCTGAATCCGGATATCCGGATCTAAAAAATAAGATATCCGGATTCGGTTCGCACGAAGCCGAGATTTTACTTTCCAGATTTGGATTCGGAGACCCTTGGCTATCCTAATTTCGGAGCAGATCCGGAACGGATCTCAGATCGAATCTCGGATCATATGTAAGACTTATATATGAGTGAGCCATTATAATCTGACAAGTAATCAAAGGGTCAGAGTCTGAATTCCAAAGATGACATGTCATAATTGATGTTTGGAATCTTCTTTATATCTGCACAGATTTTGGTTTGTGGAGCCTAATTCATATCAACCACAACCGTTACTTGGTCAATATTTTAACAGCAAGTATTCTTAGAGTTTTATTATGACTGTGGAGCCTAATCCTAATCTAGACTGTGTAGGGTTTGCTATTGTCGTTTACACAGTCTAGAGATGATAAAACTCTAGACTGTTAGTTTCGTTATGCTTAAACCAGAACCGAAATGAAAAATTCGTTTATACTGTTAGTTTCATTTATCATATCCACAAAAATTAAATTGTAACAGATTTAGTACTTTGAACTAGTATCTACTATTTTAAATATGGAAGCCAGTTAAAAAAAACTACTATTTCCAAGCTGTTTTATATTGGACAAACTGTTCAACGTGTTTTTTTTCCAGTTAGAACTATTGAATAAGTCATGAATGAAAGAAAATACATCTTCTAAATGAGTAAAGTTATTTGAGTTGGGAGAGTTAAACTTAAATCCATACGTCTCTTATATCAGCTGCATCAGAAAGGCATGATCTCAACATGTGCCCTGATAATTATTGATACATAACATATTAAAGTAAACGGTACAACTCAGGGTCGAGCCGAGGCATAGCCACGACTTCCACTGGCTGGATTTTTGGCAAGGCTAAACCAGGCCCTTCAGTCATATCCAGCGGTTCATCAGACACTTTGTGCAACTCAAACCCCTGAATCAACCGAGCCAACACGAAGTGAACAACTCTTAGGCCAAGATTCATCCCTGGACACGACCTTCTTCCCGAACTAAACGGGATGTACTCTGAATCGCTCTTTCCGCATCGCGATTTCTCCTCCATAAACCTCTCAGGCTTGAAGGTTTTGGGGTCAGGCCATATCTTGGGATCCCTGTGAAGTTTCCAGATGTTGACGAGCAAGCGTGAGCCTTTCTCAACACGGTATCCACCAAGTAAACAGTCTTTACTCGCTTCGCGAATTCCTGATCAATATCATTCATCATCTTTATAACCTTTTAGGTTTACATGTACATGATTTACAAGAATATGTAAGAATAAAGATAATTAAGAGAGCCTATATGTGACCTGTAAGAGGAGCCGGTGGATAAAGCCGGTGAGTTTCTTTGACAATAGCTTGTAGGTACTTGAGGTTTGGTATGTCGGATTCTTCAACCCACCTCTCTTTCCCTACGATATTGTCAATCTCTTCTTGTGCTGCTTTTAAAGCGGCAGGATTGTTAAGAAGCAATGATACCGCCCATGTCAGGGTGATGGATGTACTGTCTGCTCCCGTTAGTGTAAGAACCTATAACAAGAAACAGGTTATTCAAGTTGGTTCTACTGGTACCTACTTATCTCAAAAACAATTGATATCTTTTCTATCACATAAAAATTTTATGCCGACAAAAATATTTAATCTAATCTATTAAAATAGTGTATTGAAACCGCGCATACCAATATAGTTGCCTTGACAATTACATCGCGTACATGTCCACATATCACAACATCTTCTGGTAAGATGTCAAGCAATAAATCCATGATAGTCTTCTCTTCTTTATTATTCTCATTTCTTGATCTCTTCTCTAGATGTTCTTGGAGCCATTTAGTGATGGCCGAGTCAAGCTCCTTAAACGTATTTTTCATTTGAGCAATTTTTGAAAAATCTAACCATCCCAACCATGGAATCACGTCGCCTATCATGAAAACAGCAGCCAAGTACTCGCTACTCTTCAACGCCTCCTTATAACGCCACTCCTCGCTCTTCACTTCGCCGAATTCAGTTCTCTTCCCAACCATCTTCTTAAGGATTATATTGAAAGTCAAAAACTCGAATAACAAGTCAATCTTCACAGTCGATGTATTATCACCACCCGCTTTGTATATCTGCTTAATGAACGCGTTTACTTCCGAATAACGAATGTGGCCGAGCATCTCCATGCTCTGGTTTGAGAATAGATGGACGGTGGCGATCTTACGCAACTCACGCCAATAGTCTCCGTAGGGAGCCAGCGCTAGAACTGCGTTGTTGTAGCCTACGTACCGACCAAAGGATATATTGGGTCTAGTGGCTAGAACCAAGTCGTTGGTGGTGAAACAATCTTTGATGATATCGGGGTCGCTGGTTACAACCAGTTTGTAAAACCCTAACTTGAGGGAAAAGATGGGACCAAGTTTGTCGGATATGGCAGCAAGTTTCTTGCAGACGAGTTCTTTACCGCGCAGAAGATGGAGGTGGCCGAATAAAGGCAAAGCTCCCATTGGCTCAGGGATGGTTGAGCTGTCAGCTTCACACTTTCTCAGTTTCCTGAGGAAAATGTAACCGGAGATTGCAAGTGCCAAAGAGAAGAGAGAAAGATGGAGAGTACTAAAGAGAATCATCATGGTGAATATTGTTTTTGAGATATGAGACCATAGCTTTCTTTGATGTTTATATTTATAGTACACAAGCTAAGGTAGAATTCACTATGGATGATTATAAAAGATGATGTGAAAGGAACCATATATTGTAAAAGTAAAAAATTTGGAGTATTTTTACAAAATATGTCACAAAAGTAATTTCAGTTGATCTATAGAAAAACCTGCGTAACTGTCTCTAGTCTAGCCTCAAAATTAAAAATTTAAATATCAGGCGAAATAAATATCAAAATGTCGATTTTGTTTCCTAAGTAGATATTTTCTAGAATATTAATAGCCAAATTTTGCTTTTAACTAAACCCACTGCTTTTACTTTAGAAATAAACGCTATTGTAATAGTTGATTTTTATAGTTTTCTGCATCTTGATGATCCAAATGGTCTCATAATCTCCAAAATGTTCCAAACCGTACAATGACATGTAAAGACTTTAAAGCAGACTCGAGACATATAATATAGACTTTAAAAGTAGACTTATTCCATGGTTAAAACCAGTAAAAACCATGATATATCAGATGTTGGAGGAGAGAGAAAGAGGGTGATGTTGCTTACTCTCTACTCTTGACCGTCTCTTCTGTGCTTAATTGATGGTTTTGTATCTTTTTTTTTTTTTCTTTTTTTTTTTGTAATCCAGGGTTCTCCTGGGTCCGGTCAGGCAGCGGTCCACTTCATCCGGGAGGGTTGTACCTGGGCCTAGGCCCAGTACCACTTTGGTGACATGGAAGAGGTAGTTCGCCACCGCCTGATATCGAATCCGTGAGCATGACAATTGGCCCCCAAGGTTCTTTGCCAAGTGGGCTACCTCATCCCGTCTGGTTTTGTATCTTCTCACTCAGTTTTCTGAAACTGTTTCACTATACTTTACGAAAGATTTACTATAATTTATTTTTGAAGTTAGTCTCACGAAAGTTTGTTTCATAAACTGTTTTGATTCGTTTTATGAAAGATTTTACGTAAAAACTTTTCAAAGTTAGTTCTACGGAAGTTTTCCTGTAAAACTGTTTTGATTTGTTTTACGAAATATTTTTCGTTAAAACTTTTCGAAGTTAGTTTCACGGAAGTTTACTTCATAAAACTGTTACGTAAAAATCTTACAAAGGAACGTTTTTCCAGATAATTTTTGTTTGGACATAAATAACTTTATTTATTTTCTGGAAGGTATATACAAAGTTTGTTCGACCATATTGTTGTGTTTAAGTCGGCACGGTAAATGCAGAATTGTTTTCTCGACATTTTTGTCTTACTCTTGTAAATGATACAATTATTGGGTGAATTTAGTACTCTTTGATATCGCTAGGAGGATTTTGACCCCAATAGCTTTGTGTAAGATAGAGATCAATGGAATCACTGGTGAATTTAGGCTATGAATCTGTCTACTAATGAGATAAGGTACAACCTCTCGCACAGGCCTTAGAGTTAGAGGTGAATAACCTCAAAGGCATCTGGAAATGAGAATAAAGGGTTTTTTCGAAGACTATAGTTCCGAAGCTAAAAAGCCACGATATTGAACATTCTCAACTGAATGGTTCTTTAAGTTAAAAAGAAGAAGAAAAAAAAAAACAGTAAGTTTGCTACATTTTTATTTTATTTAAAGTCAGCTAAAACATCGACACTGAAAAAATTACTCCCTCCGTTTCACTTTATTTGTCATTCTAAGCTTTTGCACACAGATTAAGAAAATATTTAATTTTACATATTTCCAAGATAAAAACACAATTATCTATACACCTAACCACTTTTCAACCAATAGAAAAATAGAATATTATATAAAACTAATAAATTTTACCTCGAAATTTTAAAACGACAATTAATTTGTGACAAAAAAATAAGTCAAGAATAACATATATTTTGAAACGGAAGGAGTAATAAGTTTAGGAAAACGAAAAAGTAAAAGTCAGCTAACTGATTGAACTATTTTTGAGTCACCACCAAAAGGATAAATGAATACGTCGTATGTTACACTCATTTTAAGGCTTAGTGAAGCAATGCAAAGATGGGTTAGTAGTCGATAGTAGAGATGTCCTAAATTACCTTTTTGAACTACAGATGTATTCATTGTCACAAAAATTGTGAATAAATTTAACATTCATTAAAAAATAAAAGAAGATTTCAACAAGTTTATAATCATTCAAAAAAAAAAGAGTTTATAATCATTCAATTCGATGTGATACGTTCTAATGAAGACTAGTTTTTAGCTACCGAGATAAGCTTGATAAGATCCAAAAACTAACAACTTTTTCGGGTTTGGTTTGGAGTTAATAATACGTGAGCCACAAATATTATCATAATAATCTACATTTTGACTTTTCGCTGATGTCCTTATTGAATGAGAGTCTATACGTAAGTGGCACCATACATGACAAGCAAAAGCGACATGAGCTGTAGGTAGGGACTATTGGTCGTATAATTATTTGTTTTCTTCTTAATATCATTTTGGTCGTATAACTATCTTTGCGTGGCTATCCTTGAATATCCATTTCGAGGCATATATATGACGCTCAAAAGACGAAACAAAAGAAATATCTATTCGTTTTAGTATGATGTTACGTAGCAGAACAGAAGCATTTTATGGTTTCACTGGTCAAAAAAACATGAAACATGTGGTCTGATATGATTCCAACGAATGGACTATCGTATAGTGGAAATGTATTTGACACTAATGGCTGTGGTTGTAGTTCTTTAGCCTTATTCATATAGTTCATTATTCAATGTTAATGCACATTTTTTCCGAATATTGATGAATGAATGCACATTATGCACGTTATGCATGTTTTCTGCATTTTCTTAATACTTGACTCGGTTAACGCAGACTACTTTTCGTACTCTCTACACGTATGTTTACATCTTTATACTACTAACGTATACAAATTTGAAAATAAAAAAGTCGGAAACTTTACGGTTCAACTAATAATGGATGCCCAGGTTGAATGATTGAACCATATCTATTTAACTAAAGGAAGCTTAAAACTATACACAGAAAATTAATGAAACATTTATTTTAAGAAATATTTGACAAAATAGAATACATATCTAACTTTAGTCTCTCCTAATAATACTGAGGTATATATTGACTGGTAAACCATTTGCAAAAGCATTATAGTCCTAACTATCCAATCAATAATTTAAAAGAACATTCTTACTTTAGCTTATTTCAAAATGTTTCTTTTTCACCAATTAAAAAAGGACATATAAAACAACATTTAGAATAACATTTAGAAGATGCAAATGATCTCCAAATGTTTTTGACTAAATGGTTTCATATGAATCTTTGGTAAAACATTTCCTTTTAGGATATATAAAATTTTAAAAATAGTTTTATATAATTAATTAATTTTATTTACCAATATCAAAAATCATGTTTATATCACAAACATAAAATTATACGTTTGAAATAAAATTCGCATTTAAATATTCTAAAACTTATAAATAATAATTTTACATGTAAATATGATAAATATATATAATTAAATATGATTCATTATTTTCAATTAAATTTATATATATATATATATATATTCTAAATATATACCTGATATTTGTATGGTTGATGGACCATGGACTCATCACTCACTCATAGTGGTTGTGGATGAGTTTGGACAAACTCGACACGATAAACTCAAATCTTGGGAAATAAAAATCAGAGGTGAAGAATGTGATCAGTACATGCAAAGCTTGAGGCTCTTTTTGACTATGGAATGCATGCTACAGATATTGGCGTGCCAACACTTCAGTACTGATTGCAAGGACATGGTCTTGATGATACAAGATTCAGAAGCGTGACCAAACTTTTTAACCGAGTTAAAGAAATTGTCAAGACTTAAAGAGTAGATTTGTAGACTCCTCTATTGTTTATCATCCTCTTTCCGATAACAAAACATCATATTAGTTACCTAAGATAACATGAACATATCATAGGAATATGTATTACATTTATTGTTATATTTCAGTATGGTTTGTCAGACCATGTTATAGATCTGACGTTAAAAAAAAATTTCTCTGGGTCATAGATATATAGATCGATCCAATCTTATGAATTGGATCACATCGAAGAAGAATGTTTGTAACAAAATGAGACTCTTTTCGAAATTTCATATAAAAATGTGATAATATATCCAACGATTGATAACATGTATTAGCATAAATTATGAGCCAAAAAAATGTGTCACTACAATTTCAATCAGGATTATTATGAAAAACATATGAATCGCCTATTTCAATTTGCTCAACCTATGCATTTCCCAAACTGAAATTATGCATCACATTTAATATGAGATTTATTTGCCAAATAACCAAGAAAAAAAAATTAGATTTCTAATGAGAGGGTAGGAACTAGAAGATAAAAAGAGAAATGGGATTGTTTCACTTCTTTGTGCCACATGCATTGTCTTCTTGTAGTTTTGGTGTTGTGAGTTTCTCTAAGTTATTGAAGCATCATATTTCATATGACAAGAGAGGTATTAATCTCCTCTTTGATTCTCACGGCAATTAGCTCCATGAAATTGACATATGGAGCCTTGATCATGCTCGCTAGATAGTAACATTGCTGCGAGTGCAGTAGCATCCTGGTCACATCATGTTACGTCAAGTTCATCATTTACTTACATGCATCTAAAGCTTATTTTGAAGTTTTTGTGATGCCTACTGGAATTTCTATTTTTTTATTTTATCTTTAATATTTTGTGTTTCCTTGTATGTTGTTGCTCTTGATTGTGGATCCAACAAACATTTAGTTTTGGAATAAAATTCACGTTAAAAACAAAAAAAGGAAGAGGAGAGAGAGAGTTTTTTTTTGGTTACTTAGCAAATTAGATTTTTTTGTAGTTATGATGTGCAATTTATTATTTTTTTTTTTTTTTTGAACACAAGTGCAATTTATATTTATTATATGGAAATCAAGGATAAACACTAAAGCAAAAAGAATCCTAGTTTGAGATGTCCAACCCACCACGTGATAGACTGCATGACCCTCACAAATATTTTGTACGTCCTAAAGTCATAGG